TCCAAAGAGAAATTTCTGCCCTGATCAATGAGTGTGATGGACTGATAGAATGGGGCTTTCTCTTTCCATTTTTCTGAGTATTTGTACCTTATAGTTGACTGGATGCAGCTGTGGGTTTCTTTCTCATGTCTCTTATCCTGAGAAACAGTAATAATTTTGGAAGTGAAAAATACGCATAAGCAACTTACCCAAAAGGTTTCAGTAAATGTTAGTTATGTTTTTCTTTTTCAGGGCATTCAAATTAGACTGTGGTCTTTGTTAAGAAAAATGTTTCAGTGAACTTAAAATATAAAGACAATTAGGATCTTACTGCCACATTTTATTGCAGTGCTGGTAGAACCATTGTTTTCCATTTTATGTATTGATCCACACTGCGCTGTGGAATGGGGATTTTTTTAAAGATTTTTTTTTATCCCGCCTTTATTATTTTTATAAATAACTCAAGATGGCAAACATACCTTCCTCCTCCTATTTTCCTCACAGCAACAACCCTGTGAGGTGAGTTGGGCTGAGAGAGAGGGACTGGCCCATAGCCACCCAGCCGGCTTTCATGCCTAAGGTGGGACTAGAACTCTCGGTCTCCTAGATTCTAGCCTGGCACCTTCACCACTAGACCAAACTAGTCTAGTGCATGTCCTGAAGGATATACAGACCCAGCAGACAAGAAAGAGAAATGGGCGTGCAGCCAGCACAAAGTGGCTGACATCTCATATGACCTTTGGGTTCTGTGCAAAACATCAACACAGTCTCACAGATCATCAGTCATACTGTCATTGCCCCCATATTGTTTGAGTCTTTTTCCTAATATATTTAAATTTCTGTTGAAATGAATATAAGTGCCAATTTCCATATCTAACTTGAATATGAATCTTTGTTCACTCCTATGCTAGTTCCTTCCAATATCTGAGAGGCTGTAACCCTTCCCACAAGTGATCTTCTTTCTCTCTCTTTCTCTTTTGTAAATAGCTGGAACATCTAAATATTCTTTGAGTGAAATCCTTTGTACAAAAGTGCAGTCTTAAAGTTATGTTTTTTATCCTTTCCTTAGGCTTAAAATAGCATTTCTTACTATCTAAACTGACTAGTTTCCTGCATTTCCTTGCCTTCCTTTCCCAAATTGATGAAACTGTGAAACCTGTAGCCTGGGGTAGGCAGTGTTGTAATGTCCCATCTGCCCCATCCAGCATGGCCAATTACAAAGGATTGTGAGAGTTTTAGTACAAAATATCTAGAGGGTACAAATTGCCTCTTCTTGTAGCAGCCACTGGGTAATAGGTGGAATGAATCTCTTTCCTGATGAAATCTGTTACAAGAATTTCATATGTTTGCTTTTTTTTTTTTTCCTGTGGACCCATTTGTTCCATGATTTCCAGCATGTGGAAGTCAACATTTCCTTATCAGTACCATCATGAGTCACGTTCTCCCAAAATTGGCTTTATTCCCTGAATAAAGAAAGCTTGAACAAATATAGGAATCTGATGCCCGATGTACGGAAAATGTTGACCTTCTATTGCATTTCTAGATACGATCCAAATATATAAATCAGACTTTCCCTATCTAAACACCTCCCATATATATGGAGTTCAACTTCTGGAATTTTGACCAGTGGTGATGCTGGCTGGGAACTTTGTGCATCTAGGGTATTCAGGTGGGGCAGTTTTTGTGTATATGATAAGAATGTGCCCACACAGGTGGGCAGTTGAGCAAATATCCCTTGTAGCACTTGCTCCAATTGTTTGGGGGCAAGTTTCTGCATTTTCTTTGGCACTCTATAAAGCAGTTCAAATTCAAAAAGTTTTGATAGGAAGGGGCACAATTTCTTCATTTAGAACTGTTGTTCCAGGCCCAAAACTAATTTTTAGAAACTCACAATATACTTTGTAAAGAACAGTGACAGTCTTATATGATGGTTATTAAATATTTGTATACAGCAGCAAACTTTACATACTTATTGCGGAAATAGAAGCTCCTGTTCAATTGTTATTCCTCATGCATACTTAAAGATTGCAGAGGTGGAAGAGAGAGAACTCAAGGTTATAAAAACATTTCTTACCAACTGTAGTTCAGGGAATCTGGATTATCTCATGATGTCAACATAAAATCATGAGGGCTAACATTCTATTTTGTTTCTACTATATGTAAATCTTCCTCATTCACAGATTTCATTATAACAATCCTTGTGTTTCTAAAATTATCTGTTTTTGACTTTCATTTTTGACTCTTCAGCAATCCTAGGTTTCTTACTATATTCTGCCTACTAGCTGGTCTAGTAGGATCTACCTGGATATTGTAACTAAAATAGACTAGAATAGTTCTGCCAGTGGCTTCAAATGTCCATCTTTAAGGAGTTTTGGATTATATAGCCACTGGTGTCAGCTCCTGGCCTCCTGCTGAAACTGTGTCTCTTTCTGGCTCCTTGTTTTCACAATATACATTCCAGTGTGTGTGTGTTTGGGCTGTGCAATGATATGACATCATTTAGCCATTCCTCAGTTTGGTGCCTTCCCAAAAGTATTGACTTCAAATTCTATAATTTAGTTAGGCACTGTGGCACTTAAACTCAAATATCTGGAGATGTTGCTAGATTCATATTTATTTCTGAAGCTTAGATTCCTGACTCTGCTGCTTAGGTATATTTTTTGAGGGCTAAGCAATGCTTTGGATTTGATGCCAGATAGTTTCCCTGGTCTAATAGCTCCCAACAGTAGCTGACGACAGGATCATAGTGTTGTTCTACCTATTAAAAATAATGTACTGCCATAGAAGACCTAGTACAGACAATGAAGAAGTCCTGGATTATGTAGTGGTATAAGTCAATTAAATTTATGAACATTTTAATTCTCACAAGGGTCAAACTACCTCAAATTTAACTTCCATAAATTGTGCACTGCTTTTCTTCTTTGTTTCGATTCAGATTTTCCTTCTTTCTATATTAACTTCATATTCACTATCATTTTAAAAATACCTATTTAACAGCACATGTAGAAACCCACTCACTTTAAATAATCAGCTCTTTTAATTTATCTTTAATTTATTAATTATTATCTTTAATTCATTTCTTAGGCACCTTTCAAGACACTGACTTCTGCCCAAGGCAGCTGAAACACCCACATACACCCACGCGCACACACATGTTGTAAAGAACTTTAAATAAAACCAGTGCCAATCAAAAACAATGTAAACATGTTCAGCAAGCAGCAGGAAATTCCATTAAAATGATCCATTAAAAAGTGGGGAGAACAGATTGATCCTTCAGTTTCTCTGAAAAGCAGCCACAGGGAATGTCAGCGGAATAATTTGGAACAGAATTTCACAGAAGGTTCTGTCTCTAGTGCCCACCAACCTATGGCCATGCCCTAATTAGAAGAAGAAAAAAATCTAGAGATATAGAAATATATGATATTCCTTGCTATTCCTTTTGGTGGCAGAAGATATATTGTATGTATTTGATAAGTCATCATGGAGGATTTAGGGGGAAGGGGTATTCCATTTACCCTTTGCTTTAAAATGCTGGAATGGTGAGATATTACAAATGACCCCAAGTTTAATCAGCCAAATTTCATTCAGTTGATTTGTACTAGTCTTCTCCTACCTCATGTCCTCCAGATTTTTAGACTAGCTCCTGTTATCAAGCTCTGCATTATCTTTACCTATAACCTGAAGTAGTTCTTACTAGTTCTCAGTCAAAATACAAACACTTCTTTGTTTTAGAAGTAATTGATTGGATCATGCTTCACTCTAGCCATCTGTAAAGAGACTATAGGCATGTCCTAATAGGATCAAATGTCTGTTTGTTATCACATATCTGTTTCCAGTTTAACTACATGGAGTAAATTTAGTGTAGCAGATGGGGATGGATGTATTTTGTCCAGCACATTATGTCTTTCTCTTGCAATCTGATTAAGGTTTCCAGCAAGTGGATTTGGTCAAGACATAGTCAATGCGCAGCCTTTGATTGTATCCTTCTCTTCTGCTGTAGCCTTTAACTTCCTGAATTCTGCTACTCTTAACCTCACATATTTTTCCTAGCGGGTGTTTCAGCGTATGTGTGTGCGAGAGAGAGCCTCTCTTCTGCTGCTGCAGTCTCACATATTAATTCTTGTGAAGTACGCAGCAGGAGGGAAATCTGTCTCTTTAGCCTGTGAATTAAATATGATTAAATATCCAGCCTCCTATGCCTCAATCATTGTCTTTTCATCAGCCATCAGAGTAGCAGTTCTCTTCTTTGGATTTTCTTGAACTAAATTTCCAAAAAGGACCTGAAGACTAATACTTGTTTTTGTTTGTCCTGCATTGATGCTTGCTTCTTAGCCAAAAACTTATTTCTCGAGTCTGCTTCGCAAATGTGTTTGTGCCGTATTTGCCTGCTGTGGCCATCTGTCCATTATTTTTATCCCCTGAGACCCATTAATCTTTGATTACCTCCATCTTGCTGCTTAACTGGGAATAAAGCTTCATAGTTTGACAAAGTTCTGCCTTTTCCCACCAGCAGGAGGAGGAAGGAAAATGCATAGATTAGTCCTTCCCCATGACATCTTGAAGCTAGCTAGCTTTCTTGACTGAAATTCTTTCTGTTATATACCTCTATACATGCCTTTATATTATAAGAAATAGAGATATTAGACTTCATGAGTACAGAGGATGTGGAAGAAACAAACACCTGAATGATAGAGTCATGTGAGCTCCCAGACCACAAGAGGTGAATTTTGTTCATTACTTAAATTTGCAGCTCTGTGGGAGGTAAGTAGCAAGCTGAGGAATAAACAGCTGGGTTTGGGGTATGCTGGGGGAATGAATGAATGCCTCCAGCAAAAACAGATGTGGAAAGAAGCAGGAAGATGAACTGAACTTAAACTTCTAGATTCTTCTTTCATGAAAGCTTTTAAGGCCAATTGAGTATCTGGTTGCCTGAGAGGATACTTGAATGATAGAGTAGAAGAATTGTCATTATGATGGTGGAATGAAGCAAGCTAATCCAGGAATGTATTTTACCTTCACAGGTTACAGCCAAGACTGCCTTCTTGTTCATCTTACCTCAGTATAATGTCAGTGTGCTGACAGCAGGTAAGAGTATAGCACCTGAACTGAAAATGTCTGCCTGGTATTCTGCATGCTCAGGTTTCTCTAAACTTGAAAACTATGTGGTTGTAACCACAAGCTGGCTTTCTGTTGATTGTTGGGTAAAGTGCCTTTGCTGCACATATAATAGACAAACACATTCACATGCTTACACATACAGACATGCACAAACATACAGAACTAAGGCATCCTAAAAGAAAAACCCTTAAACATTTCTAGCTTTCATATGCATGATATAATCAGCCTTCCTCAATCTTTTGCCCTCCAGATGTGCTGTAACTACATCTCCCCTAGTTCCCAACATAGTAGCTTCTAAACAATGAAGCCTTCACATATAGCACAGATAATGTGTAGTCATCTCTTCTATGAATTTCTCTAATCATCTTGCAAAGCAGTCTAGCCCAGTACCATAAGTTTTATTGTAGTAAATTCTGCGATGTAGTTGTGAAATAATTTTACATTTTTTTATACTGAATCTCTTGGAGGTCTGTGAATTTTAATATCAGGAGAGAATGGGAAAAACTGATTTCTGTCTGTCATCTGTCATAAGGCTCATCTTTTATTTTTCTACACTGAAACATTCCAAATCGTTTTGACTTTTCTTGTTCTCCTTCTCTCCCTTTGCAATACTGTATATCCTTTCTGATGTGGAGTTGGCAAAGGTTGGGATGGTTCCATGAATTTTCAGAGGGTTTACCAGGTGGAAGGGGTAGACTAAGACATAAAAAGATCTTAAATCATATTTCTGAGGGCCAGATCATTTTTATTACTTAAATCATAGGGATTTTGCTCTCTGGCTTCTTGTCAGACTTTGGGGCAGGCATGGCTATAAATCCCCATAGTTCCAGAAACTCAATCCTGTATTCAGCAACTAGGTAACAACATAGACTTCAAGGACTTGATACTGCTAGATTAGTTGCTTTATTACAGACATAAAAGAAATAATATACACAAAGAAAGTCTGCCTATGAAAAACTAGAAATCGAGTCTGATATATCTCTTTCTGACCCAGGGTTTAAATCTTAAGCCTTTTTCTCCTGCCCTTTTGGGTCAATGGACCTTCGGCTATTCGGTTCCCACCTTTGAGATTAGAATGCACCTGCTCAGTGTTTAGACAGTGGTTCTGTCTAGAATGAGTCACATTTGTTCCTGACTTTCTAGTTTCAGCCCTTATGCTACCTCCATATCTAGTTTCTTCTTCCCCTCCCCTACTGGATGTGGAAGTTCCAGGTGCATCTCCTATGCCTTCCTTCTAGTCATGTGAGACTGAGTGCATTGTGCCCCTCTTTCTTTTCCATTACTTCATTGGCTGGAACTGACAAGTTCTCTCCCATCAACTTTCTCTACCCCTCCCTCCCTCCTCCTGCCTGACCTGGGGTGGGGAGGAGAATTTGGTTGTCCAAATCAGAGATCTTTCCTCTAGCCTGGGTTGGAGGGGGAGGGGGCATTTCCATGTTTCTGCAGCAAAAGTCATATTTTCCATATTTGGGGCCCTCTATTCTCTTTCCTCCTGACACCAAACATCTTATGTGTACTTTTCCATTCCAGAACTTTCTTTCTTAACTTCAGGTACAGCAGTATCCATTCCTCTCTCAGCAGTCAGAGAAATGTATGTATTTATGTTTGTAATATTTCTATACCAGCCAGTTGTGCCCGTTATGGGTGGCGCATAGTAAACTCAATAGTAAAATGCAACATCTAAAAATAACCCACAGATGACTCAACCAGATAGAAATGAAGTATTGTCTTTAATACCTTCTGAAACTCCACAAGTGACTGTTCCAGGCTCACCGCTGATGAGGCTGACTTCTTGTTCATGACCTTCTTACCTCTCATGTGATACAACTTTGAGTGGGCCTTTTCTTGATATCTATACAGGAGGGGCAGAATCACATTGATTAAAGTTGTCCCTGTTGTAATCTTGAGGCATACTGTGTAGGGTTTTCGTTGATACCAAGTACTATGGATTGGGCTCAGAATCCTACCTCTGGCAGTCTAGCCACCACATTTTGCACCAGCTAAGCTTCTGAGTCATTTGCAAAGGCAATCCCATTAAAATATGTTTTAGTAGTCTAGCTGTGTAGTGATAAGGGATGAGATATCTCCAAGGTTTGGTCTAGATTGGGCTGTAACTGGCATACTAGTTAAAGTTGGGCACTGTTCCCCCTATCCCACTGGGTTAGCCACAGCTTCCATGTCTTGTTCTAGCAGGAGTCATGAGTCTCAGATGACCCCGAAGTCACAAAGCGGATTCTTCAGTGAAACATGACCTTGTCTGAAGCAATCACTGGAACCAATGTTTCTAGAAGACTTTGATGTTTAAGACAGAACAGCAACTCGATTTTGTTTTGATTTAGTCTGGGTTTGTTTCTCTCCGTCCAGTCCTTAATAGCCTCCAGACATGAATTTAAGATTTCCACAGCATCTGCAGCTTGGCCTGGGTTGGTGATGTGTAATTGACTGTCATCAGCATGCTGAAGATACCTCACCCCAAACTGACAGATGACCACAGTTTGTTTTAGTGTGAGGAGAGAACTGAGCCCTGTAGTACTTCACACTGGAGCAACCATGGGCTTGATCATTCTTCTTACATTACTACCAGCTGGAACCACCCACTCAGGTAAAAGTAGAACCAGTCTGAGTGGTAATTCTATCTCTCGGTCCTTGCAGGTGGTCCAAAAAGATGTTTCCTCTCCTTCCGCAAACTAGGTTTTCTCTACCTCAGAATCAGAATTGTTGGCAGGCACTGAAGCCAGAACATGACACCAAGTAGGTGGTTTGGCTCTGTGAAGATATTGTAGATGGAACTGTCAAAAGAAGCAAGGGGCATGTACATGATCTGCTACTTGCTGGAATCTTTCTGTGTCTGGGTAGCCCTTCCATTGAATCAAATATTCCAGTCTCTGCTTAGGAGTCCAAAATACTTTCCCCTTTTAATTCTTTGTCCTATCTCAAGATTGGGTGGAGGGGGGTAACAGGGCAGAGGTGCTCAAAATGCAGCAGGGACATTCCAAAACCACAAGAGATGTGGATATCAAATCAAAATGTTATTACAGTCATTGATCAGAAATTCAGTAAAATATCAGATGTATTTTTAATGTGTCTGGAAGCTGCAGACTGATGTGTGCCAGTATAGGAAATGATCCAGTAAATTTGGTGTCCAGCTTTTTAGACAGTTCTGTAGAGGGGGGAAGTTTGGTAGAGAGCTGGATATCTTCCAACAGAAGTGGGGAGGGGCATTTTCCTGGTAATGACAGTCAGCAGAATCCTTGATAGAAACCTTAGCATTATCCAGCTGATCCTTGAGGAGATGTGGAGCTACTTGCAGTGGCTGGAAAAAATAGGAATTCTCTGGAATTGGGGAGGGGTGTGAAGCATTTGGTAGTATGTAAGGTTGGTAACCATAGGTGGCTTGAAATGACAATATCTAAGTAGAAGCATGAAGTGAATTGTTCTAGATGAACTCAGCAGTAGATAAATGATGAAGCAAATTATTATGCTGGTACTTTACACAGCAGTGAAAATAGTGCTCTAACAAGGCATTAGTTCCCTCGGTTTCAGCAGCCAACTGTGGATGATGGACAGAGGAAGCTTTACATCTAGCATTTTTTTTTTTTATATGTTCAATCATGTCCGGTTCTTGGAGACTGCCTGGACAAGTCCCTGCAGTTTTCTTGGCAAGGTTTTTCAGAAGTAGTTTGCCCTTGCCTCCTTCCTAGAGCTGAGAGAGAGTGACGGGCCCAAGGTCACCCAGCTGGCTTTGTGCCTAGGCGAGATTAGAACTCACGGTATCCCAGTTCCTAGCCTGGTGCCTTAACCACTATACCAAACTGGCTTTAATCCAAACTGGCTCTAATACATCCAACATTAAAGCTTTCCAAAAATGTACCATGAATTGTGGGCTTCTGTCTGAAATAACACAGTTGGCAAGCCATAGTTCCAGAAAACTTGTTGAATAAAGAAGAATATTGTTTTTGTCAGCTTCACTTCTTAGAGCTTCTGATGTGTGGTTAGGTGCTTTTAGTATTGACCCCTTTTTGAATTATTACTATTATCTGAAACGCTCTTTCCTAACTTGATGCCCTCCAAATCCATTGGATTCATTACTCCCAGAATTCCTGTTGACCATGTTAGTTGGGAATTCTAGTTCCAACCCATCTGGAGGGTGGCAGGCTGAGGAAGGATGGCTTAAAATATAAGCAATTGTTTATATTGCATTGCTTGTTGGCTGTGCTAAGGCCCTTTAGAGGAGACCCAGATTTACACACAGTATCGGATGCTCAAAAAGCAGAAGAACAATTCTTGTTTTTGAATGCAAGTTTCTCTTGTAAAAAGGTGTATCTACTCTTTTGACAGGGGAGGGGGGAGGGCACCAGGAGAAGAAGAAGGGCATGTATGAACTCTGTTTGAGGGGATGAATTAACTGGAACCATGGCAGCCTCAAATAATCTTAGGTAGCGAATCTGTGCCTGGAAGAAGGAGTGTATATTGTTAAGCTCACAGATTGTAACCTTTAGTTTGACTGTGTCACTTCATGAGTGAATGATGTTTCATACAAAATATTTTCTTGATGTGATAGCTGTCAGGGAGAAGAGTCCTAAGCTAGCCTTCTCACACTGATAGTACATGAAGGTTGGTTTGTTTATTTGTTTTTGGAATTGAAGAGCATCTCCACTTGTAATCTGAAATGGCGCACTCAAAATCTTAGTGAGAACTAGACAGGTGAAGGTTGCACACTATAAACAAGTGAGCATAAATGCTGTTTCTGAAGGGGGGGCAGCAGCTGACTTTTTGCTAGCCATTGCTGAATCTTTCACTTGCCTTTTCCTTTTGCACAGCAGAGAAAGCACAAAAAGACCTCTGTCACTGTTTAAATTATGAGGGGAAGGTAGGGGGAAATGAAATCCCTCCTAGTTACACATACTGTACCATTTTTTGTTAAATAATTATGTCCTGCAAACCTTCTAAAACAGTAGATTGGGGAGGGGGGGGGGTTGCAAAGGAGAGGGCTTCTTCCTTCTTTTTCCCCTGCCTTTCCCCCCTAATTTTAACAAAACTTCTGTCTACCCATAGAAACATGTTTCTTGTAATGTTTAAGACTGATCCTGGCTTGTGTAGTAACCGTTTTGCCAAGAAAATCTTATTTGGAATGGAATTTCATCCCTTCCAGCGTTGCTGCTTGGCCTGGGTGATTTTAAAATGCTTATAAATTGAACTGTTGCTGAGCATTCATGGAGGCACGTGGCAGTTGAAGTTCTGAAATACTCATGCTAATTAACCCTTGGTACAACAGCAATTTCTCCAGAAGGCTGAGTCTGCCTTGTTCCTGGATTCTTTGTGAATATCAAGGAGGGAGGGAGGAAGGAAGGAAGGAAGGAAGGAAGTTTTTTTTTTTTTTGCATCAAGGGTTACTCGGCAGCCTGAGCCTTACAGTC